AATATTTTAAAATATAAATAGTTTAAAACGTGTTTTTTAAATGTAATACATTTAATGCTCATATAACAAACTCTTGTTATCACAATTCATGTTATTACAACAAACTCACAGACTACCTTACAATACATATCTTATATGTCCTGCACATTTGACTAGCACGTTTGTCATCACAGCTATATAACAATGTATATAACAATTTGTTATTACAGAGCCTTTAAATTAAAAGTTATTTAAGTACATTGCATTTTGCCGAAAAGAATTTAAAAAACTTATAAAGTAATTAAAGGATTATTATAAATCGAAATTATTTTAAACTTGGTATGATTTTAGCCATGAATTTTGCCGTATAAACAACAGAAAATCTAATTTTTCTGGTTTTAATCTATTTCGGCGATCAGTAAGAATTAAACCAGCATTTGAAAACACTCGCTCGGATAGTACAGATGAACCTGGAGTTGATAAAAATTTGTATGCTAATGATTTTAATACATCTGATGGATAATTTTTCCAAAACTGAAATACAGAATCTGACCGCTCACAAGTTTTCGATTCTAAATATTGTTTTGCACATATTATTGCATCAGCAGTCGATGATGTTTTTTCGCAGATATTTTTTTTACGATTATCAATAAAACTTAGTAAATCATCCTCTTTCTCTAAATTTTGAAGGTTTGACGTCGACAAATTATTTTCTTTATTATTTGCATTTTGTATGGAATTAAATTCTGCAGTCAATATATTGATAAATAATTGATTAGCATTTTCTTTTTGATTATTATTCCGAAAAGCAAGCATTTTGTACCTCGGATCTAAAACCGTTGCCATAATGTTCGCTGTTCTTGATTCATACGGATAAAGCCGAGTTATTACTGAGGATTTTAATTTTTCGAAAACTTCTTTTCCTATATCTGTTTTAATTGAACTTCCGATAGAATTTAATTTCGATAAAATACCATGTATCAATGGAATTATTAAAGACATTGTTACATATAGACTTCCAGAAATATCTTTTGTCGCCAATTCCAAAAGGCTTAAAATTATGATTAAATCTTCTAAAATTAACACATCTTCAGCTGTCAAAAGACGGGGAGATTTTCGCAATTCAGACATTGCTAACAGTAATGGGTCGCGAAGTTTTAATATTCGCTGAATCATATAGAAGGAACTATTCCATCGTGTCGGAGTATCTTGTATAAGTTTAAGCTCTTCTTTGTGAAACTGTTTCTGCATATCACGGAGCTTGTCCATTGCTAACGTACTGTTTCGGAAATATGTAACAATCTCTTTTACATGTTTTAAAATTGGTTTCACGCTTTCCGTTTCTAATACATCTAACGCGACTAAATTAATCGTATGTGCAAAACACGGTGAATGACGAACTTTTAAAACTGTAGCAGTTTTTATCATATTTGACGCATTATCAGACACCATCGTGACGATTTTCTCACGGATGTTCCACTTTTGTAACATCTCATCCAGCTCCTAAGAATGTTAAGATATATTATTAAATTGTCCTACTATATTTGTTATTTTCAAATATAGCTAAATTAATCGAGCTAAAACAGACATGTTTTTTAATAGACGCGTATCATGATTTTTACCTCTGCAATATGCTCTGCTGTGTGGTGTCCTACTACTTTCCGTGTTTCTAACACCGCTGACTTTATATCATCATCATATATAAAATGAGCTGTTATCGTTATAATACCATCATTTGCTGTAGACGTCCATAGGTTCGTTGTTATGGATATATGATTTACAGTAGACAGAATTTTAGCGAGGACAACTTTTCTTTTATTGTAAAGCTGCGGAAGTAAAACTTTCTTCAAATGCGTCCGAGATGGCAATTCATATTTCTTATCTAATTCGTGAACAAATTGTTTAAAGGAATCTCGTTCAACTATTCGAAACGGTTCTAGATCATGTGCTATATATTCCACTAATAACTGATCCAGTGTTATTTTACGGTCGCTATTTTTATCGTAAGGAATACATTCCTTTGTCATATAATCTTTTACTGTGACTTTTCGTTGTTTTACAACTGTTGGACCAGCAACCGGATCATCACAATCTTCCTCATTCGCTTCATTGTTTATTTCAGCATCATTTTGTTTCAGTAACCTATCGAACTCTAATTTGTGCTTTCGCTTACAGTGGTCCAATAAATTTGAGGTGTTCCCACTGGTTTTATAGTCATTTTTGCAAATATTACATCTGGCAAAAGGACCATATTTGCTTTTCGTAAATATTTTCCATATTACAGATCTCATGTTTCTGTAAAAAAAATTATATAATTAGTTTTGAAAACTTTACAACGCCCTTGCGAGCGGCTTTGTTTACGAATCCGAAATTGCAACAAGAAGAATAATATACCGCGGTGTCACGATCGATATGAATAATCAATGCACAAAATCTACTATTTTGTTTTTAGGTTATATTGTTTCCATTATGTCATTATAAAAACAAAAATATGTAACTTTATTAGTATAATAATCAAAATTGTGAAAAACTAAAAAAACTTAAAAGACGAAAGGGAGTACACCTTCCATGATAATTATAAATATTTTGTAGGTAAATAATTTTTCTATTGCAATACTTGCGTCTTTTTTGCACAATAAAAAAGATGTTCTGTATTATATGATTTCCAATCAAAATTATTTTTAAGTCATGAAATTGAATATACTTTAAAAAATCACACCTTGGAAAGTCTGAAGACCAGAAAAACATTATATTTCTTCTTCGATTCAACGGTTTAATTTAACTTTGATGAGTCCTTGTTTATAATGCATATACTTACTCAATTAATAAAAAAGTCCGTATTCAATCACAGCGCGCAAAACGATTTAGAATCCAGGCTCACTTTTCACTCCTCATTGAACGTTTTCCTGTTTTTAGCTATTGTGATTCACTAGTAGCGGTTAGGCCGGTTAGAGAAGCCGATAGGATCAAGAGAGTGGCAATTGTGACAAACTCATGTGATGCTCTCTCTGTGATTGGTCCTAGGCAGCAGGCACCAAACTCATGAAGTTAATTTGATGCTGGGACCAATCAAAAGAGACCGTCACATGACTAGTTTGCCACTCTTCTAATCTGGCTCTCCCTCTCTCTCTCTCTCTCTCTCTAGTAGCGGAACATAAGCGCTGCTAACATTGCTGCGGCAGCGCCGGCAGCGGCCGTTGTGGATAGTAAAATATCGATAGTTCTCTGTAATTCTCGATAATATTCGATAGTAAAAATTATCGATAG